ACCCTCTTAATGTTACAGTCTTCTAGCATCTCAGATCCCCGAGTTATGAATTTATGCGGGAAAAATTTTGGCGGGCCCGTACGTGGGTACCACGCTTACCGGGGGTTGGGTTTGAGCTCATAAGTACCTACTTGGACGGGGAACATTCTCTTAAAATTTCAGCTTTCTAGAACTTCAGATCCCCGAGTTATGAATTTACGCGGGAAAAATTTTGGTGGGTCCGTGCGCGGGTACCATGGTTACCCGGGGGTCGGGTTTGAGCTCATTGGTGTATACATGGACGGGGAATATTTTCTCAAAATTTCAGCTTTCTAGCTTTCCTGGTTCGCCAGTTATCAACTTACTCTAAAAAAATTTTGTCGGGCTCTTGCGCGGGTACCACGCTGGTAAGACCGCCTATTTTGGGGATGGGAGCCCGTGCGTGCATGTAGATTATATCTCCGAAGTTTCAGTCCTGTAGCTTTTGCCGGTCTGGAGATGAAAAATCGGCACAGACGAACGCACAGACACACACACAGATACACACACAGACAACCTCTCGTCAACATGCGTTTTCTGCATTGCATAGTTGCAAAAAACGCATAAAAAACGCATGACAAACACTGCTTTCACTTAGTGGAAGCTTGATCACATCAACACATGTGCACGAACATTCTTGCATTAAGATTATTTAATTTTTCAGTACGCGAAAAATGTATATAAAGAAGTTCAGAAACCGAAAGTGACTTACAGTAGTTGTTGTGCTAAGTTTAATTTTTCAGATTATCACTTCTGCCACCATGTATCGTAAAATGATGCTAATATTCTTCTGTGCACTCTTTGTGCTTATTGCTGCACAAGGAGACCCAGAGAAAGAGCCGGAAAAGGAACCTGAGAAGGAGCCAGAAAAGGAGCCAGAGAAGGAACCAGAAAAGGAGCCTGAAAAGGAACCAGAAAAAGAGCCTGAGAAGGAGCCAGAAAAGGAACCTGAGAAGGAACCAGAAAAGGAACCTGAGAAGGAGCCAGAAAAGGAGCCTGAGAAGGAGCCAGAAAAGGAACCTGAGAAGGAGCCAGAAAAGGAGCCTGAGAAGGAGCCGGAAAAGGAACCCGAGAAGGAGCCAGAAAAGGAACCCGAGAAGGAGCCAGAAAAGGAACCCGAGAAA